ACCTCAATGAAAATAATCTTGAAACTTATGCTTGGAGTATGGACTTGATACTATAAGTAACTTGGAGTATAAACTTTAAACTGCAATTACCTATATCTTTAATCACCCATGTTTAGAGTTTTACTTGAACTACAATAAACTTATGCTTGGAAACGGATTTGGAGACTTGAAACCATGATACCCTAGGCATAGGGAAGAGTGCTGGTACGCGTTATTCTTCAAAATTTTCGGAAAACTAAATTTTTTTAAATTTTAAATTTTTAGATATTATCGTAAACTGAATATAAAAATTATATTTTTAAAAATCGAGATTTTCGGATAAAAAAAAATTTCCTCTACCAAATGCCCGAAAATACATACGGGGCATGTAATAATTGTAAAAAGAATGAAAGAAGGGCATGATGTATAACCCATAAACTTTTTTCCCCCCCAAAAAGGGGAGAACGTCTTTTAGATCTATTAAGAATAAAAAAAACTAGAACAAAGTAATTTTATTTTGTAAAATTATTTAAATAATAATTTTACTTTATTTTGTGTGAAATAAATAATACGTATTGCCTACTTTTAAAATAAATGTTTTAAACCTACCCATATTTTATTTTATTAAATATATTATGCCAAATGACATAAAGGTCCTTGATATATCGTCCCATCTATTTACATTTCTACCTAAAACTATAATAAAAAATAGGAAAAGTTTACAAATGCTCATGTGGTTTGCTTCAGAATCATTTATGCCTCTGTGGTTTTTTTTCTATCACATATGCCCCTGTGCTTTGTAAAAAATAAGAAACCACAGGGGTATATGTGATAAAAACATACCCTTTTACAAACCACATAGACATATGTGATAAGGAAAAAACCACAGGGACATAAGTGATTCTGAAGTAAACCACAGGGGCATTGGTGAACTTTTCCTTAAAAAAAAGAGTAAACAACCTTTTTAGTCCCTGTCAATATCTACGAAGTCCTTTTTAGCCCCTGACAATAAAAAAGGACCAAATTGGTCCCTGAAATTACAAAAAAAGGGCCATGTTAGTCCTTATGTCAACTCCCAAATATGTAGAGTGGCCCTTTTCTTGTACTTTTAGGGACCAATTTGGTCCTTTTTTATTGCCAGGGACTAAAAAGGACTTCGTAGATATTGCCAGGGACTAAAAAGGGTGTTTACTCTAAAAAAAATACATTGGTGTGGTGCGGTCCTTTGCTTAGATTATTATTTTTGTAAGTGTTTTAAAATCTGGATCGGACTGGCCATATTGACCCTAGATTATCTATTTACATGTCTCACATATTTTGGTAATTTGGTGCCCTCACCGGTTCGAGATGGTCATAAGATCGATTATGTACTCGAATCGGTATTAAATCGATGAACCAGGTTCAACCGATGTTATGTTAAACAAAAACCCGCTTCTCCAACTACGGGAGTGGTGAACAGTTCTCTTGCATATAGATCAAAAGTTGCATTTTTTTTAAGGTGGGATCCATGCATTTTGTGTATGCAGGAAAACTGATGATCCATGCAGCAACATAAAAAAAGACAACCCCTATGTTAAATAGGGATAGTTATACTTACGTAAGTTTACCACCGTTACAACCAATTTCATCTTTATTATATTAAAATTAAATTCAATGGTTCATAATTATCTCTTATAACCCTAATTTTACTCTCTCATCCTCCTCTCTTTAGGTTTGGGATTTGCACATCTCTTTTTTTCTCTAGGATTGAAAATCACCTCTCTCATCCTCTCTTTATCTTTACAGCGCTTTGATCTTCAGTTCCAGCAAAAAATATCTCACCAAGACGAATAATCGGACACATGAATTAATTCTTTCCATTGTCGCTGAATAGGTTTGGAAAATCGCAATTCTTTGAAACAATTCATTATATAATTAATGCTTTCATCCACATGTACGCTTTCATTCCGTAAGCATATATGACAAATTGTTATATGTACGCTGAATAGGAATTCTTCCATTACTTTATAGCAATTCATTCGGTAAACATATATGACGAATTGCTATATGTACACTGAATAGGAATCCTTCCATTACTTTAATAATTCATTCGTCATTAAAAATTCATTCCTTTATTGCAATTCATTATATATAAACAATTCAATATCTTATGTACGTTAAAGAGAGGATGAGAGAGGTGATTCCCAAATTTAGAGAGAGAGAAAGGTGTGCAAATCCCAAACCTAGAGAGAGACAGAGAAAGGATGTGAGGATTATAAGAATAATTATAAACTGTTAGATTTAATTTTAATCTAACGGTGATAAGATTAGCTGTAAGGGTGATAAATTTACTTGGTGGTAAGTAGGGGTGTTCGCGGTCTGGATTGGATCGGTTTTGGAAGCAAAAGTCATCTGATCCAATCTCTTCGGTTTAATCATGTAATCGTCCATTCGGTTTGGAGTTTTTTTCAAATCCGAGCCGATCCAATCCAATTTTTTTCGGTTTGGATTGGATCGGTTTTCGGTTTTTTGAAAATCCTAAAATTTGTTTCATACTTATGCAAATAACATCTTTTGTATAATAGGCTTTGTGAATTTTTTTTTTAAATACAAGTACATCAATGAACGATAATATAGTTTTTTTTTGGGCGATAATATAGTTTTTTTTTTGGGCAATGAGATATGAAGCTCTACACAGATAAAATTTTGTTGATGAGATGTGACTATATTTTTTCTTGGGTTTAGTTGATAGATTAATAGGTTTTGGGTTTATAAATTTTTGGACTATGATTGGGGAAAGACCCAAGTAGGTAGAGGGGAATTAATATATTGGATTGGTTTGGATTGGATCGGTTTTCATCAACCCATCCGAAAACCGATCCTATCTAATTAAAGTTTGCGGTTTTTTTTTCGGTTTTCGGTTTATTCGGTTATCGATTTTTCGGTTCGGTTACCGCGGTTTGAATCGGTTTGGATCGGCTGATGAACACCCCTAGTGGTAAGTATAATTGTCCCCATGTTAAATTATGTAAAATATATACATTTTGCAAGTAATGAATTTCGAACTTGAGTCCCCATGTTTGAAGATCAGAAGATTTATCACTCTATCACTTTTTTTTTGGTAAACACCGTACCATTTTTATTTGTTGGACATAATGTTTATAATTTGATATTTATTGTATATTATTTTATAAATTTAATTTATGCGATTGAACAAGTGATCCACGGGTTGAATCACTGACCCAATAATCCAGTACCTTGACCGAGTGGACGAGGGCCGAGTTTTAAAATACTTATTAATATAATTTGATCCTTAGGTGGTGTCTGGTTGGGTGGTATTTGAAATAAACCCATGCAAATGAAGTTGGTATTCCTCGATGCATGCGTTTGGTTGGGAGTGATTTGGGTGAATACCCAGGCAAGGTCAATGCCTATCTTTCTCATTTTTGTGCCGTTTGTCCATGCTTCCGCACTGTTCAGAATCCTGATTGCTCGGTGGTTTGTTACAGAAACCCGGCTAATGCACGTGGGGCCCACAACATTTGAGACCATTATGCCCTCTGATATTATCCTGATTGTGCGGTCAGCAGCGAATGGACTGAAGAGTAGATACAAAAAGTCTCAGCTTAGCTTCGTTGGGTGCGTTGAAGACCAGTTTGGTGACCGGAAGAAGTGGCTGTGCATGGTGGGGGAAGTTGACGTTTGTCTCTTCCTAATCCTGGTTCAGTTTTCTTCATGAGCTCAGTGTTCTCCGCAAACAAAAAAAACAAAAGCAAATAGCGAGATTCGATCCGCACAGGCACCAAATCCTTACCAAAAAATTTTCGAAAGAGAAAAAACATCAAAAACAAAGAAAAAGAGCTGAACAAAAACACAGAGAGAATCGCAGAAAAGAAAGGAAAGAGGAGCAGTTGGCAGTGAGAGAAGAAGGCTTAGAAGCACGCACCTAAGGAAGCAAGTTTTGGTATACGCATTGGCCACTTGTACTCGTAATGAGAAATTTGTTTTTTGGGGTTAAATTTGTAATTTCATACAATTTACCCATCTTTATTTTACCCCAAACCAAACATAGATTTCATAAAAGTTACTTAATTTTTTCAGTAAAATTTTTCCCAATCAAACAATTTTTTTTTACATTTTCCTACCTATCTCACTTTTCAACCATTTTCCTATCTATAACATTTCCCTATCATTCATAAAATTTCTCCTCAACCAAACGCCCCCTTAGAGTTAAAATCAGTTCATAGCTTTGGACTTCATTTATGCCCTGGTTGGTTGCTCATAAGTAGGATGAAAACGGAGATTCAATGTTATGGCAGTAGGAAAAAAAGTGATTTAGGTTATGGGTTCACTTTTAAAAATCTGTATAGCCATATCTGAAATTATTGAGCTTAATTGGCATAGGTTTCTTGCGCTAAATTGATTTATTTGTTCTTTTTTTTTAATCTTTGCGACATTTATTGAGTTTGTTTGGTATAATTTTGACATTGCGAGTTAATTTGGTATATCTTTAAGGGTAGGGATATATATATGAATTTTTAACTTCAATCTTTAAGGGTATGAAAAAATTTGACTATAAAGAACATATAATTTTATCATTAGAAACCACTTGATAAATACTTAAAATTGAGTGTAAAAATACACACACAAAAAAAAAATGGATAGATCTACTAAGGAGAAGAAAAAAAAATTGAATTTCTCCTAATTTTTTTTATGTGTTACGTGAAAAACATCAAAACAATTAATTATACATATAAAAGTCATTTACAAATTTTTGACTCATATTTTGGACATTTAATTGTTTTGTATAGGATATATTATTTTCCTATTTTTTTATGCATATTTAATTTATTATTCTTAAATATCGTTAGATGATAATCTTAAATAATTTTTACTATTTTTTTTTACTCAAAATTCTAATGCAACTATGTTAAAGAATAATAAACAAGGTAGATATAAAAAAAATAGTAAAATAATATAATCCATTTTAATATCCTTTCAACCAAATTTTGAAAACCAAACATTTTCTGTGGATGCAAATTGGATTAGAGTGGCGAATTCTGAGAGGGTTCTCTCAAGCACACTACTCATCTTCTTCTTCACCCAAAATGGCTACCTTTACCGTTCCCATACCCACAACTTTTTCTTCACTTTCATCATCTTCTTTTCCTTTCCTTAAACCTCAAACACGTTTTGGTTCCGTTCACACCCCACTCTCTCCAACCACCTTCAACAGAAAACGCTCCTCAACCACCATCCTCGCCGTCGCCACCACCCAATCCTCCGAGGCTGCGGTCTCCGGCGACCAGAAGCAGAAGCAGAATCAGATTGTTCTTCCAACTAACCAATCGTCTGAGAGGCTTCTCAGAATCCGCCACACGGTAATGTGAATAGCTTTGGCTTCAATTTCGCGTTAGTTTCGGCTTTCTGTGATATCCTTTTGCGTTTAGCTGCGGTTTCTGTTGTCTTGCATTGGATTATGTTCTTATTGTTAAGGAAAAGGGTATCTGGTTCAGTGTATCTGTTGTTCTGACTAAGGTGGTTCTGTTTCGTTTACTAGAACAGTAGAATACAAGTGATGATATACTCGACTTGAAACACAGAAATATTTGATGGAGAGGAACTTAAATTAGTCTAATTTGTCATTCTAAGGTTAATATATATATATATATATATATATATATATATATATATATTATTTAGAATTAATAATTAATTAATAAATGTGACCCAATAAATTATAACAGTTACATTGACGGACTGAAATCAACTCTTAGGATTTGGTGTCAAACTTTTTTGTTTTACATCGATGTTTAAGGATCCTATCCTAGTAGGATATTCTTATATCAGTGTAAGAATAAGAAGCCTTACACCCCTTACACCATATCTTGATCATTGATTTGTTTGTATTTAACGGCTCAAAATATTTAATAAATCAGAACCATTAGATATGAATAGGATCAATGATCAATATTGAGAGTGTAGCTTACACTGGTGTAAAATTATCCTTAATTTTATATATATATATATATATATATTCTTTTTTTTTTTTGTTGATAAATATATATATATATATATATATATATATATATATTCTAATTCATCATTTCTTTTTCCTTAATCTTATTAATTTTATTTAGGTTTACTAATTTGGGTTATGGGTTAAAGGTGATGTCAATTGTGTGATTATACAGTTAATACACTTTTATGTTGTTTCATATGTTATTGTAAGAAAACATATTTAGGAGTTCTCTTGGAGAAAGGAAGAATAAGATATTTTGGGCAACTTGAAAATCTAGTTATAACTCTTGCTAACTATAGATGCCAAAATGTTATTGCGATATAATGCTTTACTTTTGTTTTTTATCTATTTATTTTGTCTTTTTCTTTTTCTTTTGATGTTTAATTCAATTATTTTTAGTGTAAAAGTTGAAGGAAACCTGTATATTATTAGCATTAGAAATTGCTATCATAACACTGTTTTTAATTATTATGCATAAATATTGATGCGTTACTGACTAAGGAAAGAAAACTAACAGTTACTACGGATACTACTGACATTAAAAAACAAGTATCTTTGTATTTTCTATTCCATAAAATACTGAAAGGTAATTCCGTGGAGGGGATTTTTCATTTTTTATTTTGGTTAGAATATTTGATATATGTACTAGTATTGGTTAGTGAATGCTTTTGTATCTTTAGTTTCTCTAACAAGTTGGACATGCAGTGTGCGCATGTGATGGCAATGGCCGTTCAAAAGCTTTACCCTGATGCAAAAGTCACAATTGGGCCTTGGATAGAAAATGGCTTTTATTATGACTTCGATATGGAGCCTCTGACTGATACAGATTTAAAGAAAATCAAGAAAGAGATGGTAAGCTGAGTCAGTGCATCAGATCTAAATTCCATTAAATCTTTATATTTAGGAGTTATGTACTTTTGTTTACATGCTCCTCAAATTATCCATTTGGCTATGTATGCAGGGAATATAATTATTTATTTCTTACGTTGTCTGTAGGAACGAATTATTAGCAGAAATTTACCCCTTGTAAGAGAAGAAGTTTCGAGAGATGAAGCTCATAGAAGGATAACGACTTTGAATGAACCATACAAGATCGAGATTTTGGAAAGCATTAAGGAAGATCCCATCACAATTTATCATATTGGTAGCCATCTAGCTCTTTTTAGTTTTCACCAATTTAATTCCCACATGTTGAAACTTGAAAGTTAGAGAGAGGGAGAGAGACTATAGAGAGAAAATGAATGTGTAAAGAACCTTGGGATACACCACCCCAAAAGCTAGCTCAAAGGGTGGGAGTGCCAAGGCCTTATAAACTCCACATTAGTTGCTCTTCAACCAATGTGGGACTATATATCTCAACACGCCCCCTCACGCAAGAGCCCTCTTGGCTTGAAGCGTGGATTATGCAACAGGCCCAATCTTTGGTTTACCTTTTGTGCTTCCACTTTAAAGTGAGGGGCGGTGAGAATCGAACCTCAAGCTCTGATACCATGTAAAGAACCTTGGGATACACCACCCCAAAAGCTAGCTCAAAGGGTGGGAGTGCCAAGGCCTTATAAACTCCACATTAGTTGCTCTTCAACCAATGTGGGACTATATATCTCAACAGAATGCTATTTGTGTGCCCTAAGTTCATGAATGTTGCACTCCATTTATGTTATACTTATCTATTTTGAAGGTAGAGAGATTAGGGATGCTATGTGAATGCACTAACTTTATAATAGTTAGGCACTGTGTGTGTATTTATACCAGTCATTCGGGAGCAGTAAGCTAGTACAAGCCCAGCATGTAAATTATTATTTTCTTAAACTATCCCTCAAGTTAGGGCTTAGATTTTAATCTTGCCCAGCTTGTTACAGATATAATCTACCTTGCTCTAACAAAGCACTAAGGTAAAAAAATATCTGCTAACTTGTCCCCATTTCACATATGGTTAGTAGAATTTAGTCTGTGCTGAGGTTTCTCTTGGATAAAGTAAGAATCTGCCTCAATGTGTTCACAACAAAATTTGCGTAGACTTAATACTCCTGAAGCCAATCTCATCATCATCCTCACAAGTTCACCAGTAGTTTGAACCATAGCATAATACTTTGTTTCTCTATTTGACCATGCCACTACATTTTGCTTCTTACCCTTATTTCAATATGGCAAGAATATGTTTCCTGTTGCCATATATTTAAAATCATTAAAGATGATATGTGGTTTCTGTTTGATTACTTTCATTCATGTAGAAGAGTTATATTTCTTAGTTGTCTCTAAACTATGAGGCCACTAAGCCTACATATTTACAGTGCTGAACTTCTTTTGCATCTTTCACTTGATTGATTAACTACCTTCAACAGAATGAAAATGGACAATATAGTGTCTGACATTGGAACTATGAAGATGGAAGTGTAAAGTAGAATAACAATGAGCAGACAAAGATGTGCTCAGAAAAAGTGCTTTGCGGGTTTCACATTGCATTAAAAAAGAAGTTATTGCCTGAGGAGTTGGATCCTTTTTTTTTTTTTTTTAAATTCACCTAATATTCTTATCCTCTAAATCATGGGTCTCCAATTCGGGTTGAACAGAGAGAGGAGACAGGGAAAAAAGGGCAGGATTGGGAATATTTTATGAGGGAAAGGGAGGAGTTTAGCAGAATGAACAGGTGGCAGCAGGACATTGGAGGAGGCATGGGAAGCATGGGGAGAAGGGGAATATGATTGAGGGGGGCATCAAATCTGTGAAGGGAATTTTTGGGGTTTTAGGCCTTGGGGCGGAGTAGCAATCTATGCTTCTCTGAGTCTATATTTTCCTTTCTCATCTGATATTTCCTCCTGTTTTTTGTTACTGTAATTAGATTATTGCTCTATACTTTTCCCTATAATTCCAGTGTGAATACCAGGATCTATCATATTCCTTTTTCCTTAAAGGCGAGGAGTGGTGGGACCTCTGTGCTGGACCTCATGTTGAATCTACTGGAAATATTAACAAGAAAGCGGTTGAACTTGAATCAATTGCTGGTGCTTACTGGAGAGGAGATGAAAAGAAACCGATGTTGCAAAGGATATATGGTACCGCATGGGAGAATGAAGACCAGTTGAAAGCTTACCTTCACTTTAAAGAGGAAGCTAAGCGTCGGGACCATAGGCGCCTAGGGCAAGATCTTGATTTGTTTTCAATACAGGTAAAATTAAAAGTGCTGTTTATATTGTTCTGCAGAATTGATTTTTCTTTCTATTTTGATTGTATTGATGAATCAAATGAGTTGGAATTTTTTATTAAATTTATTCAGGATGATGCTGGTGGGGGTTTAGTTTTCTGGCACCCTAAGGGTGCTATTGTGAGACACATAATTGAAGATTTCTGGAAAAAGATTCACATTGAACGTGGTTATGATCTACTGTACACGCCGCATGTGGCAAAAGCTGATCTTTGGAAGATCAGTGGTCATTTGGACTTCTACAAAGAGAATATGTATGATCAGATGAACATTGAAGATGAGCTTTATCAGCTTCGACCAATGAATTGTCCTTATCATATTTTGGTATACAAAAGGAAGCTTCATTCCTATCGGGATTTTCCTATTAGGGTGGCAGAATTGGGGACTGTTTATAGATATGAACTATCTGGAAGTTTACATGGCCTTTTCCGTGTCAGAGGTTTCACCCAGGTTTGCTATTATACCTAGCTCATTGTCTTGTGAACTACTAAGATTATTGAAAAGGTTGATCCAGCTGATCTTAAAGTTAATTCTCAATGTTGATTTTCACTTAGTAGATGGTGAGCCTCAGCACACTGTTAAGGTTGCGTACATTTGACTATCTTGGAGTCCTGTCCACAACTGTGGAAAGCCTCATGCACTGGGCTACCCTTTTAAAACTTTTTTAAGGCTATGGCATGTGATACATTAATGTGAAATATTGGATAGTCTTATAGAAGTTGCTGCATTTGGTTTCTAATTCATTTCTGCAAATTCATGCTGGTAGATTGGTTCCTGTTTGATTTCAGTATCTTTTTTACAGGATGATGCACACATATTTTGTTTAGATGACCAGATTAAGGATGAGATCAGGGGTGTCCTAGATCTTACAGAAGAATTATTATTGCAATTTGGTTTTGACAAGTATGAAGTAAATTTATCTACAAGGCCTGAAAAAGCGGTTGGAGACGATGGTATATGGGAGAAAGCTACCTCTGCTTTAAAAGATGCTTTGGATGACAAAGGTTGGACCTATCAAATTGACGATGGAGGAGGTGCATTTTATGGGCCAAAGATTGATGTCAAGATTGAGGATGCTCTTGGAAGGAAGTGGCAATGTTCAACCATACAGGCAATTTCTGACTTCATATTTTTTTGAAATATAAAAGGATTCATATGCCTTCACCTAATATCTTAAGATTTTAGGAGAGTTGGTTCTTGATATGGCCTCATTTAATAGAGCTTATTTGGGCGTATCTATTGTAACAAGCGTTTATGAAATATTTTTGTCCTGTTTGGATAAGCTTGTTAAACCAGTTTAAAAATCTGTTGAAGTAGGACAATCCAAGAGTATTCCTCTTGACCAGGTACTCTTCTAATAAACAAACGTAGACTGTTCCTATAGGGCGCAATGCTCCAGACTCAAGTTTCAAATCCTATCCTAAATCAAGAAAATATCAATAATCAATTATACAAAAATCTTCATAGCATAAGGCACGTAAAGGTTATATATAACCCTAAAATCATAAAATCCTAGAAATATCATAGTTCTAATCAAATATAAAATCCTAGATAAATCTTAATTAAATATAAATCTTAATAAAATATAAATCTTAGATCACTCCTAATTAAATATAAAACCCCTAAAAAATTAATGAATGGTCTCTTAAATAAGAGGAAATTCTAAAATTGTAATAATAACATAATAATTTCCAAATATCACAGTAACCTTTCAATATGCTTTCCCATTCTATATCACTCATATATGCTGTTTTGGGCTTCTAAGCTCTTGCAAAATGTAGAAACAGCTTAGGTGAATAATTTTTTTTATTAAAATAATCTTCTAGTTATCAAAATTAGCTGTTTATCCAAACTGGGGCCATGTCCATGCTTCAAGCCCAAAGAATCTTGCATGAGGAGGAGTGATAGATATAAAATTATTCATGTGCCTCCATCTAATGGCCTAGGCTTTAAGGAAAGTTGGTCGTTGACTGTATTAAGCTTTGTCTTAAATCTATGGGTGGCCATGCTGTTTATTGCTTGTATATTGGTTACATAATTTTGAATAACAATTTGCATGGAACTATTTCCCCATTTGCTTGACTTAATTCTTTTTAATTTAAACAGGTTGATTTTAATCTACCACAGCGTTTTGACATCACATATGTTGACTCAAACACTGAAAAAAAGAAACCTATAATGATCCATAGAGCAGTGCTCGGATCCTTGGAAAGATTTTTTGGCGTTCTCATAGAGCATTATGCTGGTGATTTTCCACTATGGCTTTCTCCAATACAAGCTCGTGTCTTACCTGTTACCGATGCTCAGGTAATGCAACTTTTGTCTACTAATTAGAAATCTTTGGTTGATTTGTCTATTCTGATCCTATTTTGTACTTGTATCTTCTGACTATAGTAGGCCCTGTCATTTTAATAGAGAAAAACTGAGCTCTATGGCAAGTTAACTGGTTTTGGGGGAAATTGCCTCATGGGAAGAAAGTGAAAACAGCTAATTTGATTTACTGTGGGAAGCATTTATCAGTTAAATTTAACACTTTTTGCAGATTTGTTTAGATTCTCAACTGTATTTTCGGGGTTGCCAAGTTCCTAACCAGACAGAACAAATGTTAGGTAGTGAATTAAACCACTCCCCATAAACCCCAACTAGCAAGAATAGGGGGAGAGCAATCCTTAAAAATGTTGTTTTTCGAATTTGAATCCATATTCTTTCAGTCACAAAAGAGTAGTTTTACCATTGCTCTAGGGTTATCCTCTTCTTCGGTAGTGAATTAATGGAAAATATTTTCTGCATTTCACATAGCTCGGATACTGCCATGATGTGACCAAAAAACTGAAAATGAATGGCATCCGAGCTGAAGTTTGCCATGGCGAGCGGCTGCCAAAACTCATAAGAAATGCAGAGAAGCAGAAAATTCCATTGATGGCTGTTGTGGGCTCAAAGGAAGTTGAAACAGAAACAGTTACAGTTAGATCTAGGTTTGGTGGGGAGCTTGGAACCATGTCACTTGATGATTTTATTAGCAGAATAAAATTGGGAACAGAAAACCCAACATCGTCATTATGATATTATTTCAATTGGAGAATGATGGCCATCCTATTCGCTTATATATTAGATTGGAAAAGAATGAAGGGGGCATACATTTGAAACAGCATACTTTGTATATTACACAACATTAAATCACAATGTCCATGTACTCCTGGTGGTGATAGTTATGGTGAATTCAATTGGGAACTGTACATTGAATAACAAAGGCAGAATGGATTTTGAGGCAGGGGCAGACACAAGTATAACATTTGGCATGAGAAATTATATTTGTATCCAAAGCATTTTTTTTGTTGTAGTTATTTGCAGCGTATTGTTATATGCCACATTTGTTGTCTTTTGTCCACTTCTTTTTCTTTTACCGTGAACTTCATTTTGTATTATCCTTAAATAAATTTTAGTAAGTTAAAATTAGTGTGCCTTTAAATTAAAATGATGGTGAATATACCCGTAATTAGTACAAATTATTTTAAAAGGGTTTTATACAAATCTGTTGGCTTATATTTTCCTTCTTATTTGATTTATGTACCTTAAAAAAAGAATAATCGTTATTGTTTTTCTGCTACCCATTACCCGAAAAATTCTCATTTATTTCACCTTTGCCTTTTTCGTATACCAAGTCATTTCATAATTTTTTATTTCAAAATTTGATTTTTGTATTGAATATAGTAAGGTCAACAAATTAATGTCAAAAGGGATGAAAATATTGTGATAACATGATGAGCAAAAGCCATTAGTCCTTAATACTCTTCAGACGGGGACAAGTATGTTTTCGGGGTAATTTTATCGCTTAAAAATTTGATAGTCTTACATAGCCACTCGAGGGACTTACAAAAAAATAAAAAATAAAAAAAATAAAACATTAGGGGCTGCTAGATAAGCGACAAAGTCTAGATAACATGATTATATGGATGTTGATGTGTCTAGACTTTTGTTGTTTAGAGCAATAACAAGGAGGTGATGAAGCTAAACTTGCATATATTTGATTAGCCATTGAATGAAGTTGATTACCAAAAAATACATGAAAATCCATCAAAAGAAGCTAATCAATGGACCAACCAAGCCTCTTCTTATAATCCATGGGATGATGAATGAATAGCCCCCTAAATCTGAATAAGCCAGTGTCATCATCTGTTGATGCTTGATATAGCTTGAGATATAATATGGTAAAAAAATGTTTTAAATGCAAATGCGGTGGTTAAAAGTGACAGTTTGAATTTTCAGATCGAAAGTACAATTCTTGGAGAAACACGGATGGTAATTATCAAAATTTCAATTTTAAATCGACCAAGTCCCCTTACTCTTTTTTTTTTTTTGGTAAAAGTCCCCTTACTCTTTTTACATATGTTCGGTTATGTAATATGAGTGGCATGTGAGTAGTTTAGTTGAATAGTTAGATGCCTCATTGTGCACTTTCAATATTAGCTAACTATTCCATTAAACTACTTACATAGCACTCATTCTGCATAACCTTCTAACATAATAGAATTTCTCTTCACCTAACATCTTCATTGTACACTTTGTACATCAGCTAACTATTTCACTAAACTATTCATGTGCCACTCATATTACATAATCTTCTAACATAGTAGAGCTTCTCTTCACCTAACAACATATCAACTATAATGCACCGACACATCAAAAAATTTGGTGTCATTTTCGATACTTTCCGACACTCCAACACACATAGAGAACTCAAAAAAGAATTCAAAGATTGCATTGGGTTGCATTTTTAGTTCCAATTATTAGATTTGTTGGATTACGATTACCATTTTATTGAGTTTAATATAAATATTATAAGTTTAGTTTTATTTTTTTAAATTATTTAATATTAAATATAATATACACTATATAAATTAAAAATATTATTTAATATTAAAACATGCCATAACTTGTCGAAATTTAATATTTTTTAAAATTTATGAGTTGGTATACCGTATCCCATGTCAGTGTCAGTACTATAATATCTCAAGAACTTATAAAATTTCAAATCTCACCAATTACAGGTAATCAATGTTCAAGTAAAATCAGACAAATGAATTTTCTTTCTTTTTTATCTACTTGAAAAAAAATGGAAGACCCCCGTGCAGTTTTTACTTTTTAGTATGAGTATACGTTGCTCCGATCACCTTTTCCCATGATTTTCCAGCTGAAATAATCATCACGTTTTATAAAACAATGACAATACAAAATGTAGTGTCGTATTATAGTGGTTGCATTAGGAGATGATGTCAATTATGAAATTTCACTTTCCGATGAAAAATAATTTGATCCATCTACTCACCTCTTAGAATTTTTTAATAAACCATATAATAGGTGATCATTAACGGGAGCCGGCTAATTTAAATTCCATCCTCTTAAATCATTTATTATTTATTGCTTGCCGTTTACCCTCCTTTCACATATCAACATATATCTTCAGTTTTATGGATACAAAATTTATGGAAAAATTATCTGTACTTTTAAATGACATAACTTGTATCATTTTACTCTCACGAGATGAGACTCACATTTTATTTTCTTCTGTCCACTCTCCCCCATGATTTATCTCTTTTTATCACTTAAAATGACATAACTTTATATCCTTTAAAATGACACACACTTTTATCAAAAATTATAGATTGAGTTGTCAATTTTCGAAAGAATATTTTTTTAAAGAGATAGGATAGTTTGACACTGATGTCAAACTTTAAAATTTGACACTAAATCCTAACTGTTGATTTCTGTCAATTAACGGTTATCATTTATTGAGAATTAATAATTAATTAATAAGTTTGATTCTCAATAAATGATAATCGTTGATTGACGAAAATCAATGGTTAAGATTTGATGTCAAATTTTTAAGTTTGACACTGGTGTTAAAGGATCATGTCCCTTTTTTAAATATAGAGTTTCATTTATAAAATATTTTTCAACTAAAAAAGAAATGTTTGCTTGGTGATGCAATAGAGATAAACTTTGAGTATATGGAACAAAAGTGATTAACGATAATAGTGATACCCGTTAATGTAAAATGCAAGAATGCAAATGATTGTGAGCTGTTTGGTAGTAAAATGAGATCCGATTCTCTTCATAGAGTGAAGTATTTCAAAGTATCAATACTCAAAGAAACAGTGGCATGGACCAAAGCTCAGTGTGAGAGTCACCAAGAATATCTCAAGTGAAGGCTGAAAGAGGGGGATAATGTTAAGGGCACTGTATGTATTTTGATAGAGTAACAACTTATAAAACAATCAATTCAAGATTCTCTTTCAATGGCTAAAGACGGGGTATTTAAAATAGAGATGGGTTAGGCGCGTAGATCTACGCACGTGATTTTTTTCTGCTCTACTAGGTTTCGAGTGTTCTTTCTGGAGAGTTTTTCTTTGATTTTCTGTTATTTCTGGTTTAGTGCTATGAAGGATGAAGTGATGTTGAATCAAGCTTCACTAGAGGGAGATGGAGGGAAGGGAAGTAGGGAGAGATTGCCGGTAGAAGAAGAGGTGGACCATCGATGTGGAAAAAAATCGAAGGGAGAGACGGTAGAGGTTCTGAATACGGATGATCAGATGATAGAGAAAGGTGAGGGAGGGGGGAAGATCCACCTTCTGTTCACTCCATGCATGCAGAGAAGAAAGTTGTGGGAGTAACCAGCAGCTCACGCAGTAAGATGGTGTCTTATAGAGACAAATTACCGAAGTTAAATGGTGGAGAGATCTGAGATAGTGAGGAGGAAGACTGGCTGTCTAGGAAAAAGAGGGAGGAAGAAGAGGACGACCTCATGGATGAGTGCCCTCAAGATCCTTCGGAGGATCCTCTTTGTTTGATGTATCACATCTCAAAGGCCCAGCACAAAGAAGACTGTAAACAATGGCGAAAAGCACTGATTATCAAGTTGCTAGGGAAAATAATTGCCACTAGATTCTTGATGGCTAGGCTTCAGAGGCTGTGGAATCTAGCCAACTCTTTTGAACTAATTGATCTAGATAATGGATACCTGTTGCCGAGATTTTAGGATGATAACGATTATCGCCATGTGCTAGAAGAAGGACTATGGATTGTGAATGGCCACTATGTTGTGGTTCAGAGATGGAGACCATTTTTCGATCCATATGATGATCAAGTCAAGAAGTTGGCAGTGTGGATCAGAATTCCTGGGCTACCCAGTGAGCTCTACACAACCCACCACCTCTAGAAGATTGGGAACATTTTTGGGAGGACTCTCAAAGTGGATAGAAACTCTCTACGTAAAAGTGATTCTGGTATGGAAGTCATCACTGAGAGAGCTTGATTTGCTCGAATATGTGTGGAAGTGGACCTAAGGAAAAGTTTTTTTGTCAAAATTTAAAATAGGAGACAGAACATTCCAGGTGGGATACGTAGGTCTCCACTTGATTTGTTTCAAATGTGGAGTTTATGGACACAAAAAAGATCTATGCTCTGACAGTGCTCTTAAGGAGGGACAGAAGGTAGAGGAAAGATAGTGTGTTGTGAATACAGGGCACAATAATCAAGAACAAACCAAAGTAGAAGGGAAGCAGATGGAATCTTTTGGTGACTGGATGGTGGTTCAAAGGCAAACTAGAGGGAGGAAAATGAAGGTTGTTCCAGTGAAGATTAAAAATGAAGGTATAGGAGAGGGTATACCAGGAGATAAGAAGGTAGCTCTTCCTGAGGTGAATAAGGTCAAAGTGGGTGATGAGAATATTGAAGTTCGTATGGAGGTTGAGTAGGTTAGTAATCATGATCAGGAGCCAGAGGCTATGGAGATAGGTGACCTACCTAAGGTGAGTAGTAAAATTCAAAGCCCTTTGGTGGATAGGGTTGTCTCGGGTAACCTTGGCAATCTGAGGAAAACTAGAGTAGCTGATAGCAAGGTTAGGAGAATCCCAGCTAAGGAAGGAAAGGAAAAAAGCAGGGGTCGCACTAGTCCTATGCAGAAGAAAGGTGGTATTGAAAACAAATCCCCAAATACTGTTTTGGAGGGCCCCTACAAAGCAGCTAGCAGTTTGAGAGATAAAGGAAAACCTAACTCTGAGTCTAGGGATAAAGCAGATGAAGTGCTTAATCAGGAGGGAAAAAAGGGAAAGAAGGGGAAAAAAGGCAAAGGAGGTATGGATTGTGATCCTTCTAGTTCAACTCCTCAGGTTCAGAATGAACAAGGTGTGGATATGTCCAGTCCTCATATAAGGGGCCCAATTCCAACTCATCTTTGATTAAGATCTCTCATGGGTTTTGACCTTGGTCCTCTTTTTTTATTATGTTTGTTTTTATGCCTGTTTGTGTTTGGAATTGTAGAGGGGTAGGTAAAAAGGGTTTTACCACCCTTATTAAAGATTTAAAATTCAAATTTAGAATTGATATTATGGTCTGTTGGAAACTAGAATAAATGGTCCAAAGGGTGATGATATTATTA